CCCCCCCCCCCCCCCCCCCAACACACACACAAAGAACCGCTCTATCACCCAACAGTTCCTCTACATGTGCAATATATGTCAGTTTGTGTGTGTAATTCCACAATTATGCTCTGTTTTAACATTATTAGCCCATTGAGAGGTCACCACACCACCACGGTTAATAAAAATCCTAGGGGAAACCCTGCATCTGTTTATTATCTAAAAATTTCTACCATTGTAATGTAATATTGGTTTAAAGAAGCTTTTTTTTAACCCGATGTTTTTTGACGCACGTTCATTTACACTACATAAAGTTTTTATTGGATGAAGAATTGCTGAAAATGAAAATGCAGAATCCCAAAAGGTTCATGTTTTCAAAAGACATTTTAAACTTTTTACACTTTATTTAAAAATAACATTTTATGGTTTTCAACAAAAGAACCAACAAAATGACATAATTTTAACTCATTTATTTTAGCGATTATGCTGAATTTCTAGCTACAAAAAAACTCATACTAACTCATATTTAAACGAGATTTATTTTAACATGATGATGAAAACATTTTGCTTTCCCTTAATCAGAATAATGCTGCCTTATAATAAGGATGATTCATGTTAATTTTTTTTAAATTGGGGATGATGRTCTTCTCAGCCTGTGCACCTTTTTTAGTTAAAATGAAATTCTATGAGAAAAACTGAATAAGACACTTTTGCTGCTAGATAACCAAGTGCCTGGATGTGGTACTCACTCCTCTGAACCTTAAATGGGTGGTTAAAGCAAGTAAAATGATGTTTAACCTGAGGTAGACTTTTACTTTGGCTCTTTCTTCTGCCTCTTTATGCTGAAATGACTGATTTCCCAGCAGCTTTCTGATAAGAGTTAGTAAAAGCTTGTGTGAAAGATCATCAAAGTATAAAAACAGGTCTCTCCATAGRGTGCCAATTTTTTTCCCTTCTATAACCACTCTCTCACCACTCCTTGTGAATTCAAGTGTTCACCCTGTGGTCTCTGCATGTCTTTGAATAGTGATGTAGCGTATGTTTATATCAATGTTTTAGTGCTTCACTGGTGCAGTTGAATAAACACTTCTCATCAGAAAAATTGCTCAGGAATTTTGAGGTTGTAGAATCGAGGTGCCTGAGGGTGCAGAGGATCTTTCATAATCTGATTCAGTTTACCACTTTTGCAGCCACTGAAGCAATCCACTGCCAGCACTTAAATAAAAGATTGTTTTTCTTAAAAGTTTAATTTTTAGGTTTGTCCCACATGTCTGTTTTAATAACTGTTTCAATCCACTAGTTTTGATTTTACCATTGTAGAAATGTAGACTTATCACGCAAGTTGGGGGAGGGGGCATCTAGCTTTACTCAAAGAGAGCAGAGGAATGCATTGCTGTGCTAATGTTTTATAAGGCTCTAATTCAGCCATTTTAAGACTTACAAAGCTAGTAGTAGCCAAGAACAAGCTTTGACAAATTACRAATGCAAAACAAAAATTCAAGATGGCCACCAGWGCTACTTTGAAACTGCAGTAACTGCCATTTTAAGACATTTGGGGCTGAAATTTTGGTGTGGTGGTAGCTAAGAATGATCCCCATAAAATACTAAAGCCAAATCAAAAATTCAAGATGGCCACCAGAGTTAAAAAGAAAAATTGACTACAACTCACACTTTTAGCCAAATTGAGGGTGAGATTTGTTATTGTGGTCGATGACTGAGATTTTCAACAAATGGTACAGTTGATTCTTAAATTTAAAATGGACRTCACATGGCAAACCCTTTCATAGTTTCTTTGGGGACTATTCTAGTTTAAGATTATTATTAGAAGATAAGAATAATTAGATATATTTGTAGACTTAGTCTTCTAACGTGTCCAGTTATAAAAGTTTTTGTTCTGCTTTTAGTTTTTCTCTATTGCCCAGGTAAAAGCAAGTAAACTGACAGACAAGTACAGATGACTGAGAATAGTTCCTGCTATAGTTTAATTTTTTTTCTTTGCATTTGAAAGTGATTACGTTTCAGCACATTTTCTGTCCATTGGATTATCCCATTTTGGCACARTTCCTCATATCCCAGGCATTCTGTTCCAGCATTGTTGCCAGCACATCACAAACAACAAACAGAAATCTTGAAAATCACYGACCTAAATTCATGTGAATTTGCGTCATTGCAAAAACATTCCTCCAGAAGATGCAAGCCAATTTAGAAATGATTGTAAATGAGCTTGATCTATTGGTCAGTACATAAAAAACTAGCTGTAAAATCATAAATGTTAGCAGGTGCAGGCATGTATTTGCTTAGCTCAATTCCTGCTCCTCATTCTGCTGCTCAGTTTGTGAAAGTGTCGAACACTTGCCTCTCCGGGAGGGTGATGGCAATCTGGCAGCCTGGTTATTTAGTCACTGAGAATAACCAATATCCTTGAGTAATCAGCCACAACTTGCATTTGCATTTGGTGAAAGGTACCATTGTTTCAGGAAATAATTTGAGGCCTTATGTGTTCAATCAACAGCGTAGCTTTTGTTTTTCTCTTACTATTCTGGTTGCCCCCTCTGTGCAAATCATGCTGTATCATTTTTGCAGCTTTATGAATTAATCTGCAACATTGAGCTTGTTTTCCACAGGGATTAGCTGTTTGGCAGAGCTGCTCTATTTTTGATCAATAACACTACACTTTAGTTTAATTATATGTATGTTGCCTTTTGTTCCTTCATAATAGGTCTTTGGGTCACTTGCTGTCTTTGGGGTATAAATAGATGTGTGTCCTCCATTTAGGTGGCTAACCTGGCATGCTCTATTTCCAACAATGAAGAGGGAGTGAAGCTGGTCCGCATGGCAGCATCTCAACTGGAAACCATGTGCCCCCAGGTACTAAGATGGTTTTTACTTAAGGTTCATCATGTGTAATACTTGTGTAAAAGTTAAATAAATTGCACCTGGACTTTATAATGATAACATTGAGAGATTTTCACGTTGTATTAGAAGCTCATAGAGGCATCAGTTTCCTTAGTGTCACACCTTTAGTTTGGTTTCAGATTACTTCTCACGTTGGTATTTAGTAATTCCCACATCTTCAATAATTTGTAAGTTTATGCTTAGTGTCCGTTTTAGTTACAAGATTGAAAACTGATCTTACTTTTGTTTTAACCTTGATTTGAGGGGTTGTAAAGGTTTTATATTGGTGCATAACTTTCAGTTTTTAAAGAGAGCCACTTTTCCCACATTTCTTTCCCTTTTAGAGAAAAAAAACGCTTGTTTATAATACCAAATGGTATTTATTTTATTTTCTCTTATGTTATGTCCTTCAAAGTCCTTATAACGCTAAGGTATGATTTTGCTCCTTGATGTTTTTTATTTTATTTTTTAACGATCKAGACATGAGCTTTGTTCAATCAGCATATGCTAATGTTGTTGCTGGGGGGTGTGGCGGTATAATTGAGCTTTAATGGTTGTAATTTGGCAATTACAGGTGATTAATGCAGCACTGGCCCTTGCTGCCAAGCCCAACAGTAAGGTGGCTCAGGACAATATGGATGCATTCAAAGACCAGTGGGAGAAGCAGGTTCGCGTCCTCACTGACGCTGTTGATGACATAACATCAATCGATGACTTCCTTTCTGTGTCTGGTAAGTAGTTTTGTTTTACTCATATCCGTAGTTTTCATACCTTTTAGAATAATTCAGTTATTTTTGTTGTTTTCTAAAATAATTTAATTGTATGAGACTTAATTTTATTATGATCATTTTAAAGCATATAAAACCTAATTAAGGCAAAATGACTTCTCAAATCATAGGAGATTATTTTTTGGTAAGAGCTATTTGCAATCACTGCTTTGGCTCTACATAAGAAAATAAAATCATTAGTACATCTGAAACTAACGTACTATGACGTGTCAATGCACACAAATAGTTTGCCAGACATGCCCTGTAAGAATTCTCATTATGCATCACGTTGAGTGACTTTGCTCACCTCCACCCAAGGACAGACTGTAATTTACACAGAGGTCATTAACATTTTACAGAGTTCCCATTAATAAGAAGTCAAAGAATTTGTCTTCAGCCCTCTTGAGTAATCTACCCTGTGGCCTTGTAAATTCAAAACCATTCAAACACACAAAAAAAAACCTTAATAGCTTTACATTTTCTTGGTCCCTGTCCACATCATTGATTGAAGTATGAGTGGGGGGGGGAAAGCCATTTAATGAATGTTTTTAAAAACACATTGTATTAAATATAAAGTACTAACTGCATATTGCTTCGTCTCCAGAGAACCACATCTTGGAGGATGTGAATAAGTGTGTCATCCATCTTCAAGAGAAAGATGTTGATGGTTTGGATCGCACTGCTGGAGCTATTCGAGGCCGCGCTGCCAGAGTCGTCCATGTGGTCACTTCTGAAATGGACAACTATGAGCCTGGTGTCTACACAGAGAAGGTTCTGGAAGCCACAAAACTCCTCACTGAYACSGGTACTACAAACATCTATTTAAAATAAAAAAGACGGGAATTTGCATTTTCTGTGAAATGCAGTGTGAAAACTTATTGCTGAAATTCTTTTGCTGAAAGCTGCTGAAGTCAGGCTGAAAACTTTTAATAGCTAAACTGGTAATGCAAGTTACATTTGAACAGCTGGCTTTTGGTGAATGTAAGGAAAAGTGAAAAATCTATTGAAAATTTGCAAAAATGTGTCAAAACTGAATACAGCAGAAATGTAGCTAAAATTAGCAGAAAATGGTAAATATTTTCAAAAAAGTTAAARCTAAAATTTAGACAAAAGAAGGTAAAACAAGCCGAAAAATGACTAACCTACRACCGGAAATTGCAGAATGAGATGCATTCTAAAAACATATGAAAGAAAAATGGATCTTAATGCTTTATACTTCACACAGAATGTGATTTGAGCATCAGGGGCATAAGATTTACATTCAAAGTTTATGATGGACGCGTGTCAATGGGCGTCGTGAAGTGCTGCGGTGTGTCTAGCATGTCGCGTTTTGAGCATTTGGTGTGCAACGCTTCGCACGTCCAAAACTGAACGTTTGCAGCTCGATGCAGCGCCTCAACCAATCAGAGACTCTGCTATTTGAYGTAGTGGYACATTTTCCTACGGGACATTCTCCTGAGACAGATGGACAGGAGGTCTTTAGGTCAAGTGCCTGTATTTGTTGTCCTGGCAGAAGATGCAGGCACCGATGCAGGTCAGCGGCTCGTCAAACTGGGCTCGGGACTAAAATAGAGCTGAAAGCGAGCCTTGTCAGCTCACTGCTCCTGGAGTGGTGAAACTCACCAAACTCAGAACTCCTGTGAATTATCCGGTGAATTAATTGTGAATTAATTATCTGGTGAATGCGACACACTCTTGTTCTCAGTAAATAAAGCTAAGCCACTTAATTTCATCCCCCATACAGAGACCAGCAGAGGAAAACAACCAAGATACCCTTTCCGATGTACGTGATATGTGTCTAGAGCAATTTTGGCGAGTGTCTGCCGCAGGGGTGGAAATTAAAAATTTTCCCCACCAACCACAGTGGCTGGTAGAACATGTTTTGTACCAGCCACTCAGACTTTTTACCAGCTACTATTTTTTGTTTCTGTAACACGGTGGCATTTGGACAATTCGTGGTCCTGGTGGCCTAATTATATTGTTTGTGCCTACGATCAGATAATGACACTCAAAATCTATTAGTGTCTTTGAGTTTTCAAGCCAGCCTGTTTGCCCAAATTTAAAATGATGGACTTTTTGATGTCTCTACTTCTCTTATTACCTTGCTTTTTGCTGGTATGCAGGTGGAATACCAATTATTTTAGGTGGGCTACTTGGCTGGAAATAAAAGCTTTTTAACCTTAATAATATAGGAGAAATTTTCAAAGTGAAAAAAACCTTAAATTACCTGAGGTAAATTTATCTCCATTTAATAAAATCAGCCTTCGCCTTTTATCACTTGTAGTTTTTGTTCTATAGGCTACCAGTATGAATATGTGTCTTCTGTTCTAAGTGAGATTTCAATAACAGATGGAAATCCCTCTGATGATCCGTTGTCTCAGAGTGGATCATTTCTATTTTTACTTTTGAAAAAGGTCATGTCACAAGGTTCATTTTGTTACTTAGTTTTCCTGGGTTTTTGTTTTGTTCTGCATCAAAAAAAATAGCCTGCAAGGAAAAGAAGGAGCAGATTATTTATTTATTTATTTATTTATTTATTTATTTATTTATTTGAGCTGTCAGCTGATCTTCAGACGTTTCCTAGAGGTTAAAAAACTGTTTTTCCTTAAGTTTCTATCGGTCAATCAAAGTGATCATGGTTATTGAGTTAAAATATTTAACAACTAATAGGAAGTTTTTTTTTAACATTTATGTAATATTCACATATTGGCAGTTAGAAATACTGTAGTGTTTTAAATCATCAGATTTCAGATTTTTGCTCTTGATGCCAGCCTAGAGTTCTAGCTTTGCTGTTTGCCGACAGATGAAACAAAACTGACTGCCCTGTTAAATTCACTATTATCCGTTTTTCCCCCCTTTCCATTATTGTTAAAAAAACCCTGCAACTTTCAGTTCATTCTCTGGTTCCTCTTGAGAAAGGGTTTTGTTACCTGTTTCCCGATTAACTGCAGATATGTAACGCCACATTAAAGTTGGTGTTTTTATTTTCTCCTTGTGATAATCGGACGTTTACCTGTATAATGCGCGCACGGGGGGAGAGGACGACTTATTTCTAGCTGCAGAGCAGGTTGGAAGATGGTTATTTGATGTCATTTAATGTTTGTTAACGTCCTATAGGCTCTGAAATCCTCAATAAAAATGAAACTGAGGTTTTGACAAAAGTCAGTAGTGCGATTCGAATGCATTTTATTTTATTTTTAATTTTTTAGTTCATTACACACCTGCCACAGTGGCGGGTGCGTTGTTCGGTGGCGGGTGCCACTACATAATTTTACCCGCATTTGGCCAGTTGTGGGTGCTAATTTCCACCTCTGGTCTGCCATCAAAGTGCACAAGCATCCAACTTGAAGCGTTGGGCGTGCTTTTGATGTGTTCTGTCTGAACGCAGCATTATAATTATTCACACAATAAATAAAGATTAGAAATGTTAGATGCTTGCAGTAGACGGCATCATGGTTTATTGTTGAACGATTGATGCACATGGTTCAGATTCTTATTAACACAAATTTTCAAACAAAGTAAATCGATTAGCTCATAATTTTTAGCAGCAGGCCACATGAAACGAGAACAGTTGTTGTTTTTAAGCCACTGTGTTGTGTCCCAGGTCAGATATTCTTGTCAGTCAGCCTGACATGGTAAACAAATCTAATGTCCAGTGCTGAACGCTCATCCTGAATTCAGTAACAATGAGAAGAATCATAGAAGCATTTGTTCTTCGTGGGTTTGATTCACTCACAGATGTATTACAGTCAAACAGGAGGAAAAACCGTGCGCCTCTAAGTCAGCTTTTATCAAATTACCTAAAATGGTCTACATAGATTAGAGCAGCTGTTTACATTTTTTTTGTTTAACAGGGTTGCACTAAAATCTGCTTTGTTTAATCCTAGAACTCTGCTCTTAATTTATCTTCTGGTGCCTTTTTTAAGCTRAAAGCTTTTGTACATCTAKAATTGATTTCTAATTGTTTGGTGCAAAGTGGAGTAATTTTGTTTCAGTGGTTCCACTCTTKTAGTGTTTCATATTGTGACCCAAATGCTGACTCAGCATCTGCACAGCAGTTGCATTTCAGTTGTCAGATAAATTTGAATATCTTAACACAAGTTGAATCACACAAGTCATTTTGTCCAAATAAAGTGGTATATCATTAGCCAGCCGGCATGTATGAGCAGTGTTAGCTTCCATCACCAGCGAGCTAACATGACAGAACGATTTTTCGGTTGTCAGATTTGGAAATGGCTCGGCCCTCTGGAGGGTGTGGGCCCTATTAACAGTCAGGAAATGCAGGCAGATCATCGGAGGGTTTTAGATGAAGCTGAGTSAAGCAGTTGGAAATTATTTTAATGTCTTTTTACTCAATAAAGGTTTGATTTAAATCAATACATTTCCACAACATAAATCTGAATGCTTTCTGTCTTTTTATTGGGTGCTGTTTCTCACTCTTTGTTATTAAATAACAGGTAAGTAAATGGAAGGTTTTWGTTATTTGACAAAATGAATGAGGCATAATATTTCACACACTTTGAGATAAAAGTTTTGTAGATGACAGATTAAAAGCAAAGTATTGATTAACATCAGCTTGGTAATTTATCTAGCTGGTTTTATGATCTTACTCCTATTTGATTTTTAAAAAATTATGAGAATTGCTTTAATTAATTTTCCCTGTGAGGAAAGATTGTCATTGTAAAATCTCATCAGCCAGATTCCTGTATTCCTTTCAACACTTTCTGTGCAGAAACCTTCAGGCTGCATGCGATTTTGTAAGCTCAAATCAAAATCCTCTTTGTTGACGYGGCTGTGCTCCTGCCCTCTAAATTTGCATCCTGACATCCAGGCCTCTCCTACGAAGAAGCCGCTAAATCCAAAAAATTGAATTTGAAATAATGCAAATGAGAGGGAAAGGCCTCCAGAGCAGTTATCAAATTGTCATTGGGGCAAAATGCTCGCCCATTGGGACAGCTTTGTGAATCCTTGTGTTACAATGTCTTTYTGCTCCGTCAGATTTCTTCCCTGAAGCCATGGGTTTGGTTTATGTGTGACCATTTAAAGCAATAAGCCAAAAGAGCAAAATGCCAATAATCAAAGGGTGATCTAATCACTAAACCTTTTAATCAGAGTATTTTTAGTCCTTATTTCTTTGAGAAGGTCAGTTATTAAAATAGTCTTTAGAATGCCTTTAAATTGTGATGGTTTAAATTAAGTAGCTTTTTTAAAACACCAAAAATACCACAGATGTAGATCTAAAAGTCCTAGCCAGGGAGAATTGGCCTGATTATTCACCTCAGTGCAGGTACTTTTACAAACCTGTTTCCAGTGGTAACTCGACAATGGGTTTACAAAGTATTTTTAAAAGTTTGACGTGATACATTTCACTCTGTGACGTTTGTTTTTTACACTATTTTTTGTGTGGGTGTGAAATTTTCCTTCTATATTTTTCCCTTCTTTTATCATTTTTTTCCCCATTTTTCTGTTCCTCAGTAATGCCACGGTTCACGGAACAAGTCGAGTCTGCAGTRGAGGCCTTGAGTTCAAACCCCTCTCAGCCAATGGACGAGAATGAGTTCATTGATGCATCTCGCCTCGTATATGATGGCATTCGYGACATACGCAAGGCTGTCCTTATGATCAGAGTAAGTCTGCACAGATTTCTTTTCTCCACTGCCTGTCACACAACATAGAGATTTGCTTTTATGTGTCATTTTTTGCTTTTATTCAGAATAAAAGCTATTACCCCTCAAACCTTTAGTGGTTAACATTTTACTTTGGCAAACATGTAACAAAACAAACAGCAAAAAAATAAATAAAATATATATAATTAGCAATTTTTCCGCATTGAACAAAAGGGAAAAATAACTTATTTGCTCAATCGAAAAAATGGAGCAAATTTTGAAGTAGAAGCTTTTTGCACCTTTTTTGGTTAATGTATGGAGCTCACTAAAGACAAACATGCTTTTAATCAGTGAGAGTTTCAATTACCTCATATAGCTGTTAACACATCAGCTTTAATGGATGGAGCCACTTCATAGATTATTTTTCTACATCCATTATTAAATTTTAGTCAGAAATGAAAGCCTTACATGATGAGTTTAAGAGTTTTTGGATAAGCTGCATGTTTCTTTACAAGATAGTTTAGATGAGAATTTTCCACCTATAAGCCTTGTGTCCATCGGTGTTTATTCTGGGGTTGAGCGTTGAGTTTTTAGTTTTTTCAGTTTTCAAGATGTGCTACTTTTACTTTTTGTGTTTTGATGCTTTCCCTGGTCTACTTCTTGTTCCAGTTTTACAACCTCCCCCTTTAGGTTTATGCTTGTTTCAGATTCTAGATGCAGCAGAATGAGAACAGCCAACATCTTTCGCCACACCTCCATGTTGACTTGCCATCATGAAGGAGTCTCTATTCCTTTCCGTTGTTTCAAACTGACAGCGTTCTTGTCGGGGCCTTGTTTCCTGTCAGTCAACTAGGTGCCACAGCTTGTTAAAATCCGCAAGCGCTCTCTTTCAACTGCAGCCCCGTTTGCTTATTATAGACTTGTGCTGGTATTTTCTTGACAAAATTGCAAGGTTTTTCCTTTTTGCCCCAAACAATTCAATGAAAAATGTTGCCTTCAATATCCAAATGTGATTAATTTTTAATTTAGCTTTTGAGTGAAACAGTTTATTTCCATAAAAATGAACAGTTTAATCAATATTTTTGATCCCGTATGTTTTATTTGAGGGCTTTTAAATACTACTTTACTATGAAACATTTAATACCTTAATCTTGACAAAATCTCTCTACACTTGGTACTATTTTTAGAAGGATACCAGAAACTTGAGCTGCCCATTATTAGAAGCCAGTGATTAACTTTTCTCAGGGAAAAGCCGACCTAATTGACCAAGCATACAATCTAGTTTAACAACAGCCTTAGATGTCTGTGGGTTGATGGCTTTTGCTTGAGTAGAACCATAACTGAGACAGATGGTAGTAGGGAGCCATTGAAGCATTTCTTTACAGGCTGACAATGAGCTGACAACAAAACCCACTGCAGCTCTAAAGAGAAATGGATCGTCTTTATGGTGAAGTCTTTATAGTGTAGCTAGTTTAACTACTTGAAACTGCCGTGTTATACAAAGTGAGTGCRTAATATGTAACCTTATGTATTAAATACTTGAAGTTACATTGTGCTGGTTGTATTATGCAGTTCTTTGTTGCTATCGAGGCTTTAATCTTTTCAATTGGTATCATTAGTCTCGATCACATGTTCTGTGTTGGGCACTAAAACTGTTTATTGGTTTCCATTAATTATCGTACTCAGACATGGACAAAAACCAAATAAGTCGACCTATTATGTTTTTGCATTTGCATCATAATGAGCATCTGATTTAAGATGGACATTTTAATTAGCATTCCTTCGTTCTGCAGTGCCTGAGAACTACATTCAATTTCTATCTACCCCAGCCCCACTCTTGTTATCCAGATTAAGCTATTAACACTGAGCTTATGGGCTTGGCTAAATACTACAGAGAGGGAGAGGGAGTATGCGTAAGTGTGCATGTGTGTCAAAATGAACAGAGGATTAGTAGAAATACTTAGCTCATTCAAGATTTYGCCATCAGATTGATTTTGCCATTAACTGTCAGCTTGGGAAAGACACAATTCAAACTTCCTCCATTATCTTAAAAAAAAAATTCCCACGAGTCGAACAGGATTTCACAATCAAGCCTGAAGGGTGATCAACACATTACCAGGAATTATAAAGCAGGAAATGACTCAGCTTTTATCGTCATAGTTGTAGTATTTCCAAATGCATGTTYACTGGAATGTCTTTAATTGCTGTTTGGAACGCTGGTACAACGAATACATTGATTTCTGCTAAGAAGAACTCCTTCACTCACATGACTAAAATTCAAGTTCAAAGTTTGTTAGATACAATTGGCTTAAATGAGTTGTCTAAATGGCTCCAAGATGACATAAATCTAGGGCTTATCCATACATGCATAAAGGCTGTGGCCTAGTCTTAAATCAAAACAGACAAGTGTGTGTGGGGTGGGTTTTAGGATGGACATGTCTTTAACCTTTAAGTGGCTTGCAGTCAGTCTGTGTTGGATGTCCCCTGGATATTGAAAGGCAGACGGAGCCCTCTCTCCACCTACAGCGACATCAGAGAATATGCCTCCTAGACATGAAACTGACTCTAAGTCAGGCAGCTGCTGACAGTTGGATACAGAGGGCAGCTGTCGTTACCTTATKATTTGTGTAGTGCCTCACAGCCCAAGGTGATTTTTACTGGCTCCGTCCTAAAATAAAATTAAAGGGAAGAGGGGTATCAGTTCAGCTCACTGAGGCGATGAGTAGGATGTCACAAAAAGAATAACAGTAGGGTAATACCGTTGAATGGGGCCTGTCCGTATTTACAACGGCACACAAAGATGCAGCACCGGCTCGTTTCCTGGCTCTGTAATTCAGCTCGCTCTCATTCTTCTCTTAATGATTGCACTTCACATAGCATCTGGTCTTATGTGCCTCACAGGTAATTTACGTGGATAAAATGGAATATTTCTCCTTTCGGATGCACAGCAGTGACACGGGCCGCTATTAAATATGATTAGTGTATTTTGCCATAGCATAAAAAGTCGTGGCAAACTAACTGTAAAAGCATCGGCTTCAATATGCTTTATTAATATTATCTAACAGCAGGTTRTTATTGTCACTCTCTAGTAGTTTCCCATTGAATAACCACCCTGAGATATCATTTCTAAACCTCCCACATTCACAGGTTATCTGTTTTACAGGCCACAGCAGGTGATATCTCTGCCCCACTGAACAGCATTGTCTGGGTTGAAAGACATGCCTGAGCTTTGTATCTGACACTATTCCCATATTCTCTCGAGGACAAGAGCTTCACTACAGTTTCATAAAGGAGTATAAGGTTGTTCAGAGACCCTCAGCTATTTTTAGATATGAGGGCTCCAAATCCATTACAGTAGGGAGTCAGTTGGATAAGCACAAATGGAGGCACAAGCGTGATAATGCACCTTTATCTGGCCACATCATTTACCCTGAATCTATAGCTCTACTAAAAACATTTTCCTGACCTGCTGTTACTGTTTGCCTTAAGCGTGACCTACTGAGCTCCAATTTTATTTGAATATGACTTATAGACAAAATTTCACTAATTGCTTGTTCTGYATTCATGGTTAGGGAGGTAAAGGAAGAAACCAAGTATCAAAATTCCAGAAGAACACAATTCATGCCTCACTCGTCTTTTTCCTCAAATGGCAGCGACAGATGGGCTTTTGAAGTGTTTTGCTCCCAATATGTTTCATACCAGCACGTACCTTCATTTTCCCACTCAAAATGCACAGGCAGTACATTACACTACACAAGCTATGAGAAGGGAGACATTTATCTTTTGCTGCCCAGGCTGGCAGCACTGAGACATTTCTCACAGACAGTGAGCAGGTTTATTATTTAATGGTGCTCACAGTGGTGTTGTATGCCAATATTATTTTATGTTCTCCACATAAGTATAAAATGCAATTTTTTAAAATCTTGTTTTCCTTGTTTTTTGTCAATAAAGACTCCAGAAGAACTGGATGACTCCGACTTTGAGACCGAAGACTTTGATAAACAAAGCAAGACCAGCGTGCAGACGGAGGATGACCAGCTCATTGCCGGTCAAAGTGCACGAGTAAGTAGATGTTTCTAGGTTGTAAATCTCGCCTTGAAATTTTGTAGCAACAAAATATTAATACTTGAAGAAATGAATGTTCATAAGAGGAAATAAGATATTTTATTTCCATGCTGAAAGTGGCCTTTTAGTGCCCTTCAGAACCGAGGATTAAATATTGTTGAGTTTTTACTTACAGCTTTTTTATTCCATCATTTTATAGAGCCATCCAGCTTGATTACATTAGGAGCATTGTTTGACAAAACAGCAAAAACTATAAAATGTCCTGAGCTGAATCTTGTTAAAAAGGAGATTAATGATAAATGTGTATTTTTTTCTTTTTAAATAATTTGTAGAAACTCAATTGTAGTCGCTTGGAACGGTTTTGATGTTAATGCTGTCTGAGCCATTGTGTTTCGTTCAAACACTCCACCCCCATACTTACTGTTGATGGCTTGTGCACAGTTGGTTTGGCATCATAATAGCTGAAGTGACCGAAGTATTTGCAAAATCTCCTTTCGTGTGGCGTTCTTGCCAAATTATAGGTCTCTTTGATTCTGTTGTTGCTACCCAGAAGTCAAATATTTTATATTTTCTGATCAATCATATCAGATGGATCAGTCATTAATAAGGAGATTAATCAGTATATTGTACATCATTTCATAAAAAATGGAGAGTGAGATTATAACAATCCTTTGTGTCTGAACAATTTAATTTATTCCATAGTGATTTGTTTGGTCAGTAAAGATTATGTTGCTGTTTTGTTTGGATTTATCTTCTCTCCTTTTTTACCCTATTGGCGCTTATATGGCTTCTAAAAACAGACCAGTAAAGGAGTGAGCATTATTTGATTTCCTGCTCTCAAGTGTCGGTCCACCTCAACTTGACAAGTTAATTCACTGAATGTCTGCCTGTTTGGAAGCTTCTTCTTTACTGTTCAGTTTAAGAGGACTGATAGACATGCTGTTAAACTCATTTCCACATGTTGTCAAATGCTGCTAAATAAAGGTCTTTATGGTTTTTAGTTGTACAAAAGGGAGCAATGTTTTTGCCCCGTGATGTGGCTTCAGAAACATTTTTGCAAAATATGGTTTTGTTAAAACATTGCAAACCTGAAAAATCAGTTCTAATGCAGTTTTTATTCATATCAGACTATGCAAATTCATGTATTTAGGTTTTAGATTGCATTTTATTAAAAAGTATGAAACAAATCATACAGAAAAAAGTATAACATTTAAAATTTATATCCTCTGCTGGAATCCCATTAACACAGAGGCCATGCCTGCCAAGAAAACATTGCATTTTGGTGTTTCTTGCAAGAATATGTCAAAGTGTTGCTCACTAACCCCCTGCACCTTCCCTAATTTTTCTTCTACAGGCTATCATGGCTCAGTTGCCGCAGGAGCAGAAAGCAAAGATTGCCGAGCAGGTGGCTAGCTTCCAGGAGGAGAAGAGCAAGCTGGACGCTGAGGTATCCAAGTGGGATGACAGCGGCAATGACATCATTGTGTTGGCTAAGCAGATGTGCATGATCATGATGGAGATGACAGACTTCACCAGGTGAGACGACGGGACAAATGAGCTAAAACATCATTGCACTTGATAGATGTTTCTTTGAGTTTCTGACTCATATTAACTAGTCTGCCTATGCATGCAAAATAAATTAGTCCAGACATATGGGTGCTACTATAAATAAGTCATTCTACACTTTCCTCATATTATCTCATACTTTCTTCATTAGAATATTTATAAGCAAATGCCTTGACAAAATTTACAGCTTAAGTTAAGACTTAAATACATTCTCCCAGTAAGCTTATGTTTGTTAACAAACATTCATCTATATTTGAGAAAAGGTTCACATAAAGTTTAAGACTATTGTTCGTGCAGCAGAGCTTTTCATTTGACTTAAGCAGCAGGATAGTTAGGATTTCCTCTTTATTATTTTTCTATCCCTTTTAATCTTGATTTATGAAACCATAAGCAGAGCATCACATTTTCTTCTCCCCTGCTACATAAATAATAAGCCAGGTCTCCTTTGGAAAGAAATTAAATGGACATCCTTCCTTCACAGAGCTGCTAAAGGCCAAATTCACACTCTGAGTGGATTATGTAGGTAATACTGTATATTAAGCAGATGTTGGGGTTAGATCTGACTAATTGGATAATTATTCATTTGATACCATTCTCAGTTTTCAGGTTTGAATTCATTCTTTTAACTTTTATTGAAAGCTTTTTGCAGTAACAGCTGAAATGTTGGAGCCCTTGGGCATCACCTTAAAAWGTGTTTATGATTTTATCAGTTGTTTGCTGGTCTTTTTGCTGTTACTTTTTGTTTTCATTGTGAGATTTGCAGCAGGTTTCGGTTAAGAGTAGGTGTCACAAACACTTGAGAATATTTTGTTTAGAAAACATTCCTGCATTTTTGCTGTCTGTTTTGGGTCAGTGTCCATCTGTACTGTGAAGAGCTATAAAATCTGCTTTGCTGCATTTYGCAGAATCTGAGTTGGCAGAGTGTGACTGTACACTACAGAATTCATCCAGCTGCTCGTATCACAATGACAGTATGCACTAGTTATCCATTTTCTTACGCAGTCATACATTCCCATGYCATCACACTGTCTCCGCGTGATTTTTATAGACGCTGACGCTTCGGATGAATTTTGCCCCCTACTTTCTTTGTCGTTTTTGTGCAAATTTATTTTTGTTTTATTTGCCCAAACAGTGGTCTTTTAGAGCTGGTCTGACTTTTTAGTGTTAGTCATTTTTATTTTAGGGTAGCGTTCAGTTGAAGAATTTGATAAACTGCATATGCAAATACTGAGTGCTTATTCATATGTAAAATAAAAGGATTAGTCATTTGTGTAATTTTATGTGTATATTGTTTTGGAATGACGTTCTTTCTACATTCCTCAGCTTGTACAGTGTTTGTAAAGAGACATTTAATCGGTTTAATCTATTTTTGTATGAGGTGGCTTTTTAAATTWGAAATTTTTTTTGCACAGCAGTCACCTCATCCTCTAAATGAAAAGGCCCATTTCACTGAATAAAGATTTGAAATATTAAAAAGCGGTAGCAAAGTTTGCGACGCTAACAGCCGCAGACCTGAATGGACCTGAATGGTTGAACAGCACCCAGTAGGTTTTATGTGCTCTTTATTCCTCAAAAAGAAAGTATGGAAAAATATTGCCACCTTTTTTTTTGTTGTTGTTGTATAATGGATGAATGGTTGGATGGATAAAGGTATGAGGTTATTGATTGCTGTGACATTTTTGTGTTTTATAAATGCTGCCTCTCCCACAGTTTTACACTTTAAAGCAAACCAAGGAGTTAAAAAAAGGAGAAATGACTCATAGAAACCGAATAATGGTTTGGTTTGTGAGTACTGTTGGAATTAATCCAATTTTAAAACATTTTTTACAGTTATTACTTTAACAAATTTAATTGTGGCCTCAGATCAAGTACATGCATTTTAGAAGTTAATAAAGTCATGAGTCCTTGTTTTCAATAAAAAACAAAATGGTACTGATTTAAAGTGTCAAATTAATTGAGATGCATTTTAAAATAACTTTAAAATGGCCTTTTATGGCGTTAGCAATTGGATGACTGCATGAACTTGCAAAGTACTGATTATACAAAATCTGGTTATAATAACTGTTCCTCTAGGAGAGAAATACTTTGCTCTTATCAAGGCTCCTGAGACCTTTTGATTTTCAGCACTGATGGGCTACTTTATATTACACAAAATCAAATAAGATTTTACAACAATCTGACTAAGTTAAAACTTTCAGGTGATTATTTTCATCATAGAGTTTGTCTGAACTGCTGCAAACACTGTTTGAGTTAACAAGGGTGAAAGTATTTCTTTTTTTTTAACCGCCCATCTACGACCGCTGTTTTTTCTTTTTTGTGTGTGTGTGTGTGTGTGTGTGTGTGTGTGTGTGTGTGTGTGTGTGTGTGTGTGTGAGAGTGAGAGTGAGAGTGAGAGTATCAGCCAGCATATCAATCCACACATTATGGCTTCACTCATGTATCCAGTGATGGCTCGTGGAAGGTCAGTGGCTGGTAAATTCAACCTGCGCTCAAATTATTGTCTTTTGAACCTTGGCGTGGAGCGAAGTCCTGCCGAGGTTAATGTATTAGATAGTTGACCTCTTCTGACAAATCTGCAGAAAGTAGGAGAAATTCATGTTGACTCCTGCATGGCCGTTTGGCAGCTCTCATGAATAAAACCATTTGGGGTTTGGAAACATTCAACATATTTGGGAGCCACCTGTCACAGTCCTGTGCTGTGAAGTGTTTGGCTTGCGCACATCTGGGGGCCTGCAGGTGTTGTGGGGACTAAAATATTTAGCTGGATTCTCTTTGTTTTATCTTTATGGGCTGTTTAACTTCCCCAGCAGAGTTCAAAAGTACTCTGGAAAAAAACACATCTTATATAAAACATGGTAGATCAGGTACAAATCAGTTGCTGCTGTGTATTTGTTTTGAACAAACCACAGCAGCATGCTATCAGCTGCCTTTTTGCTTGTATGCTGTTTTTACTCCGTCCCCAGAAGTGTCACAATGCCTCCAGCTCAGTCTCCTGGGGTTGACTTCGTCCCAGGAGAACTTCCAGTATGCGCTCTGATGCATGGCCTTTTCCACTAGGACCCTGGCTTGTTTTACATCAGAGCAGCAGAGGGAGAGCTGGAGAAGGAGCGTGTTGGAGATGGGAGGGGAGGAAAGGGGAAGCAAGAGAACAGAACACAAAATTCCATCTGTTCTGGGTTGGATGGCTCATTTTTTTTTAGCCTGGAGAGAGCAGCTTTGAATCCAATTTCTGTCTCTTGCCAACTGTGTCCCAGAGTCCCCTGGGGGGGTTGAAAAATGGCAAATAGCTGACAAGCTTTACAGTGTGTCAGGTCAGGGCTGGACTGACCTGTGTGGACTGGACTTTGTTTGGCTCAAAAGGGTCAACAACGATGGACATGGGAGTCAGGTCCAGAAATTAAATTATCCTTCAGTTTTGTTTTACTTTGTTTCATTTGGAATAATTTTAAACTCAGTTGCTGGTATAGCTTTTTAAAAAAGTGTCCTGCTTWGATAAATACTTTCCACACTTTTTGCATTTATTTTATTTTTAAAACATTTATGTTTCTGATGGCCCTATATGACACCAGGCTGCTTTTAGAGTTTAATATGTGGCCTGCCTGAACTGTTCCTGTAGTTTTTATATATGCTTTCTTGCTTAACCAACCATCTGACAGAATCGGGCTCTGGGACTTTTTGTCCTGAATGAGACTTGAGTCTGCATTAGAGTTACAGCTGGGTCTAATGCTTTCCATCTTTTCTGTTCAGAGGAAAAGGGCCACTGAAGAATACATCTGATGTCATCAGCGCTGCCAAGAAAATTGCAGAGGCAGGATCCAGAATGGACAAACTGGGCCGCTCCATTGCTGACCAAGTAAGTCATAACGAGTCTCTGTCTCCAAGGAGTGATGTAAATCACACCTTTTATGCTCTCAACCTCAGTATACAGCTACAGTGGGACTTACTCAACCCACCACTCCTCAATCCAAAAGGTATTTTTTATACAAAAGAGTCCTTTAAGTTTCAGCAAAAGGGGGGGAAAAAAGAAAAAAAATAGGTAGGTACATGAAATCATCTATTCATAGAAGTGATTACAGTAATACAATTTAGAAAATAAAGCAATTTGGAATATATATATAATATATATTCCTTTCCTCCACATTCCTACTAAGGTTGGTGGGGCAATAATTGTTTTTTGTGCAAAAACCTAAACTGCATCAGCTTTCAATAGGTTTTCAAACTGAATGTACCTGTGCTGCATCAATAACAGTATAGTTCCTAAAATTAGTTTGTACATTTGCAGGAATGTAGCACAACAGGGATTCATACAGCGACTTTAATACTTGATTGCTTGTTGTTTAACCAAGAGATGTTTGACTCTGATCTTTGTTTGAGCTCATTGTTTGACTTGAGACTCCAGTTGATTCCCTCCAATTCAGTTTATTTTGTGTGCTTTTTCTAAGCCATTATTGCAAAGCTGACATGATGACATTACATAGATGGAATTAGAACTGCATCACTTGCGGCCGATTTGTGAACAGAAAAGAAAACAAAATGATGACAGTGGTTTTTTTTTTTTTTTTTTTTTTTTTTTTTTTTTTTTTTTTTTTTTTTGGAGAAGTGCTGGTGAATTCTCGAACTGTAAAGAAAGACGATGATCTCAATGAAAATGAAAAGACATAAACATGATTTAGCATGAATGTTAATATTCAGCATGATGGAAACGGAAACTGAGCTTGACACAGAGTCAACATGTTAACATAATTCACTTTTGGATATGATGGAAGAAAACACATACTTGGGTCCCAGCACAATAAAGTCAAGCAATAAAATGTAAGAATAACTGAAATATAGACAAGTCATACTTGCAACATGCACAAAAAATAGGTAAGATTGGTCAGGTTCATTGTCAATAAAATGGCAGCACAGCTAAGTGCTATTTAAGAACATTGTTGAAAATTCCTATATYTGTTCATATTGCAGTATACATTGCAGGGTTAGAAAAAAAATCTAATTTTTTTCCCAATATTCTGCAGCCCTTGTGTTTTTTTGCCCATTTAGACACCCTTTTAAGACACTAACAAAACTATAGAATTAATTTCTGGGATTTATCAATAAGAGCTTCAACATATTACATTTTGTTTTAGGATCAAAAACTTTATTTTCCATCTCCCTCAGTCCACATGCCAATTCCCATCATTGGGTCCTTGACAAAGAAACTTACTTCCAATTATCCCCGGCCTCGTATTTCACTTAAAAACTACTGTACCACTCCTTAGGGAGATGCTCTATGTGATTTACTTTTTTACCTTATGTGCCACGTATGGTAAGACTAACTACACCAGTGTTTACAATATGTACACATTTTGTTGTTAAACACTGTACAACTTTCCTTATGATGCTGATAAGAAGACGTGATCGTCACTTTGAGTTCCTCTCCTGGAGAGATGTTTGATTCTGTGTTCAACGTCTAGCAGCTGTGTTTTCCCCACTTTTATCTAAGAACACAGTTGGCTAAGAAGGAACTCTGTCTTCAGATGTTTAAGATTTCTATTCAGATAACACTGGTTGGCTCAATCACTCTCTTCTGCTCTGGTTTAGTAATCACAGATAACATGTTTTGCAAAAAGTGACAGCACAGAGTTTATGGAGTGTGTCGCCTGCAGCACCAAGATTTGGGGTCTTGGTATTGTTTGTAATCAATTCTGTTGTCTGTTTTGCAATGATAAATATTTGTCTCAAGAGTGTAGATAGTTAGTTTACTAATTAGGTAGTTTCAAAGAATGTTTTGTAAAAACATATTATGCGTATTAACTCTTCCTGCTTTAAAAAAGTTTTATTGCCCCTCCCTAATATTTAAAACTTTATGGTACCCTATCAGGTATCAGTTAACAGTTACCCTTCTCCATTCTAAGGTTTGCTGCCCTGGCAAGGTTTTTAGTGATTTACTTCCTAACTGGAAACATCTGCATTTARGTTTCAGCAGAGTTGTCTCCCTCATTGTCTGACATAATGAGCTGCTAGCCTCAAAGAGCTCTGCACGTCTGATATTTTATTTAAGGTGCCCTCAGATCTTTAATATTGGAGACCCCCGTCTATCACAAAGTAACAGTTTTTACCTGTACTGACCTAATTGCATAATCATCAGAATAGGGAATAAGCCGCCCTGGAAARTCACTTTTATATGCTTCAGTGCAGCTTTTGAAGATGCATATTCGCTTTAATGAAAACAGTGTTATCCCCCAAAGAAAACAGATGGGCAACTGTGCAGGTGTGTGTGTATGTTTGTCTGTGCATGCCTGCATGCGGAACGTCTGACTGGCGTTGCTCTCTGCAGGCACATATGTGCAGATGTGTCAGATTTAGGTGACTATCTTCCCCTTTTGTCCTCGGCTATTTGTAGATACTTGTTCCTTTCTTTTTTTGCAGTTTGTGTCTATGTATACACACACACTTTTAAAAGATTTGGTGGTTTGAAGCACTCAGCGTATAAATAAATGAAGAGCTTTGGCTGTTGAAACAGACGTCTCAGTCAGGAGYGAGGACCCCTTCAGCTTCTCTAAGCCCATCCAGTTGTCCCTCTTAGCCTTTCTATCCCAGCAGGGACCAAAAACACCAGGAAGCCAGGTGAATCTTGACTCGAACATACCAAGAACTCTTACAGAAAGTGTGGGTTAGAGAGGAAGATGGAAAGCTGGAGGAAAAAAAGGGCAGAGCATTTTTGTGGAGACAGGAACAGCCCTCCTGAGAGATGAATCCATTAAGAGTGTTTCGCCTTTTAATTAGCAGCATAATTGCCATGTAGCAGATTTTTATTTTTTCTTTATTATTTATTTTTCATGCTAGCAAGTTTATATTTAGGGCCATACCTCAAACAAAGCAGGAGATGCCACGGGCCCACTCGCAGCAAATCACGGCACATTTGGAGGGTCTACACAGTCTAGCAGCAGCGGTTAAGTGAATCACTACCGGGATACACACATACTGACAGAGTCAGAGGAGCAAAGGCAATGTTGAGATTGCTCATTAACCTGGGCATATTAATCACGTGTGCTCTGTTCTTCTGGCCTGCAGGGCCTGTGAGGGGTWGTTACTCGTATAAAACACATTGGCAGATGGTTCTAGACTGATRGCACAGCTTCTCACACCACCACCTTGTTTATAAGATACTGTCTTATAATGCTGTGGTTTGAGAACGTTGTGTTCACTGTAAACACATAGGTGGACACAGTCTAGTTTTGGGGTTACGCTAAAACGGTTAAATATGTGTAATAGAGCTTCATAAAAATTTAACAGAAATGAATCTAGTTCTGAGATGAGTTGCGGGATTTAGGTCACTGCTGTACGAAGGTCTGCACTGCAGCTGATTAACAATTTATGACCTTGCTCTGCAGGGAGCCTTATGAGAGGTTTATCTGAGTGGCCTGCTGAACAAATAATGCTATGTAATTGAGATTTATAATGCTAAAGTGTTAGCTGCTACATAGCTCATAAATTCTACCAGTTTGTGCTCACCCCCCAAATAAATAATAAAATAAAAAAACACTGGCATAAACGCAAGTGAAAAGAGAGTGAGCATGGTTTTACTGTGGGTTGTTTTGTTTTATTCTTATGTATACACTCTGAGTGTACCGAGGGTGAACTTTTCTTCCAATTTGCATTCAATTAAGAGAGATTCATGGTGATCTATAGTCTCTGGTGCTGGTCACAGTCTAATCCCAGGTCTGGCTACAGACACTCTGAAACTGACAGCTTGTAAATTACCTACTGGAGCAGCGGAGGAGGAAAATCGCCCAGAGAGTTCACAAATTCTCAGCTCAGCAGTTCAAGGGTCAGCCATCGGCTCGCTGCAGTTCATTCTAGACAATCGTTGTGAAAAACATCCATTATTAATTTACTCTGGTCAGATTGCCGTTTTGCAACACATTGTTATTCTAACAGACCACATRCTAACACAGTCTTCAGTGTGGATAAACAGATTTCTATGTAAATAAGATGTAAAAGGGATGACATTGAGAAAGTTTACACAACAATGTTTTGTTGAATTGCAGTGAAGATTTTAATGCAGAAAGTTGCTTTTAAAAGTTTCTGGCCAAATATTTAGCTTGGCTCTTCATTGAGCAGTTTTCTGGTTCTTCAGATTATTCTGACTGCAGGCAACTTCTCCCCTTCATAAAAATCCTAACTAACCCTCTAATGGTTTTTCTGTATCTGTAACATTTTTCTTTAAACATTTTTTCATTTCAGTCTCATACAAAGTCTCAAACATCAACTTTTGTCACAGCATTTTTAAACATTTATTTTGTTGTGTACTTTCTATTTTTCAAAGCATATTGCTTGGACCTTTTAAAAATTTTGACATTTTTTTGACCTACACATGTATTTTATACAACTTTCTTTTTTTATTTGGTTCTGCTCCAAAGTTCAGACAAAGCTACTTGATAACTAGCATTACTTTTCACTGTGTGCTGAGTTAACAAAGGACCATTCAAATCCACGTATTTCATTTAGAACTGCACATTTTAGGATGTTTCCATATTGCTTCCTCTACATGATCCAAATAAATATTTTCCAGTAATTATAATAATTTAGTCTAATTATTAAAAATATGTTTAACAAAGCCAAAATGTTCAGCTGCAAAATGAATGGTTTGTCACATTGGGTKTTTTTTCCCTCACAAAAAAGTGAATAGCTGAAATACCATTTACCAAGAGTGGTGATTAAACATTTGTTGCCAGGATTTTATTAGGATTCTGGCAGACTTGGACATAAACTGCAACTTGACTGGTTGGCAGATGCATAAAACTGAAATTCTAATTTGCTTTTAGATAATCAGGAATAGTGCATCAGGATTAAAAAAAAAGTTTTCTGCAA